TTTTATAGGATTTAGAATCATAGGTTCCTAGCTTTTCTCTGGTGCATTTAGTTAAAAAAATTTTACTTTTTAATGATCAAATTGATTTTTTTCAAGTTTGCAACATTGGTTGTCTATGACTAAAATCATAGAAAATATTATTTACAGTGACCATAATTTGCACATCTGTTAACTATGTGAGTTTCGTAAAAACCCAATTGGTAAAATTGAGATTAGTGTATATCTAAGGTACAATGTTTTCCACTATTATTCTGAGATTCCTTAAAAAGTGCCCTGAAAATAAGTTTCTTTATACAGGGTGTATCAGTAAAGTGGTTACAAACTTTTAGGAGAGATAGTGACGACACACAACACAAGAATGAAGCTTCACAGTGAGCATGGCTGCAACAACTGCATGCGCATGTGCAACATCATCTGATGCTTCAGATTACATAGCAACATCTATCACATACACTAGCCAAAGATGTCCCAGCATTTTTGCTGTACTAAGAATAATAAACATGTTTTCTCACCCTGTTCGTGTCATCACTACTGCGCCAGGAAAGCATTTCCGACCATGCATTGTTGTGTGATTTCCCATCGTCTAGGTCCTATCGCTTCTGAAAGTTTGTAACTGCTGTACTGATACACCCTGTATATACAATTAACTAAATTGCCACCCTTTTAAGTAACCGCTCTTGTTTGTCTAACTTGATCAACTACAGATGGTAACCCATCTTCTGAAATATCTCCTGCAATTTTTTAAAAATAATGTTTAAAGTCTAATACTTCATTCATCATGAAGGCAACTACAAATGTTTAGAATTCAAAATGCATTTATATATTTTGTAATATGTATATTGACAGTTTAAAGTTATTTGATGTATACTTTGATTGCATGTGAGCAACATCATATGATATATACTAACAAAATTAAATAATTTATTAAATATACATAATGTGTAAATTAAAAATTTCTATTGAGTTGCCGACTGACAGGAACCTCTTTCCGAACCTACAGATGATTAAGGAAGGTGAAAACATTAATTTTTTAAAAATAAATCTGTTTAAAAACTATACTTTCAGTAGTGATTGACTGATCAAATGCAATGCTCAATTAGTTGATAATTTAAGCTAATTTAAATTAAATTTAAAAGCATTTTTAAATTTATTTTAATAAATTGGAGATGAAATGGTAAGCATTATTTTTTCAATCTAGCATGTAAACTTTATTATACAAACGTCTATATTTTAATTCTCTTTTGACTTTTGTTGTCCAGCAAAAGTGTATTAAATTTGTTCAAACTTATATATTCACGACGACCAAACTGTGGCTCTTCAACTTACTGCAGCTCCTGTATATTTATACAGTTTCTAATGAGTAATACACGCTATACAGTGGATAAAAAATATAAATATCACAAAACCAAAAATGCAGTTTGTAGATCAAAAAGTGAAAAGGAAAACAAATTTTTTTAATTACCAGCAACTGTCTTTTGGTTTCCATTTCCAAATCTATTCTTTTAACCTAAAGATGGTTGCTCGAGGTTTGTTTTCCTTTTCACTTTTTGATCTACGAACTGCATTTTTGGTTTTATGAGTGATATTTATACAATTTTTTATAAACTCGATACATACTGCTTACATGTAGAAGACTTACAAAAAATTTTACATGATGATTATGTAGTTTGATATACACATGGATCGTAAGCATAAATTAACTTGCAACTTACACTTAGCTTTCATTTTCCTGTTCAAGATTAAGTTCATAAAGAAGTTAACCAGTTAAGTAACAACCTATGTAACTGATTATAAAGTAATAATATTTATTATATGACAGCGATAACTACAGTATTTTAACAAAAATACCAGCAGTTGATTGAAAATCAGTAGTTAATCCATAATTGTTTTGCCTTATTGATATTATTTGAAAATAAATTTAATAACAAGATCACCAGCAGACATTTTTGATGCTAATGATATCTGAATATGGCAAAGAAACCGCCAGTGAAAATGTGGCTAAGATCAGTGGTATGTTCTTAGAATCCAGCTTCTTGGAGACCGGAGCTAAAGAACTGACTTAGGGTAGGAGCAGGCCTTTGTGAAGTACTACGATGATCGAATGTCTGCACCAAAAGCAATGTTAAGATGGTGGTCAAATTAATTTGGTCATTCTTAAATGAATTTAACTTTTCCAGTTTAAATGTACAGGGTGTCCCATTCACAGCTGATCCTTTAAAATTGTGAATAACTCTAGAATGTGTAAATATAAAGGCAAGCTGTAAAGCCCTGAATATACCTGATTTAATGTTGAACAAATCCACATTACAGAAGGTCTTGAAAGTGTCCTCCTCTGTCCATGCAATGCAACATGACATTCCATATTAAAAATGTCTGTGACATGTTGCTATTGATTGACAGCAATTTCATACTGGATATTTTCTTTCAGTTGTCTGATTGTCCTGGATTTGTTTGCTTAAATCTTGCCTTTCAAATGTCCCCGTAGAAAGAAATCTGGCAGACTTAAATTGGGTGATCACAGTGGTCACNAGTAATTAACGACATTAAAGAATAATTTCTTTTTCCTTTACGACAAATGATAGACAAAATACAATTTTATTCATTCAAAAATTTTAAATTTCAAAATAGTAGTATTAGTGTAGTATTGTACTACTATGCTACTACATACAGAGCCGGTCCTACCATAGGGCGAAAGGAGCAGCCGCTCCAGGCGCTAAGTCCTAGGGGGCGCCTCAGTGGTAAAGAAAATTAAAGGGTATAAATTTGGGGCAACCAAGGGCAGTGGCGTAGTGAGGGGGTGCAATGGGGTGTATCAAGCACCGGATGCCACTCGCAGAGGGGCGCCCAAATGGTCTCCAAGACAAACTATGTGTTTCTGGAGGGGGCACCAATAAAGTGGCGTGCCCCGAGCGCCAGTTATGTTCGCTACGCTACTGACCAAAGGGGCGCCATAATAGGATCTCGCTCCATCCTAAAACTTGCCTCGGGCCGGCACTGACTACATAGTAGTAGCATAGTAGTATTGCATAGTAGTATTCTATTTTTAAATTCTATTAAATCAAAATACAGGTTATTAAATACAAAAATTGTTTATAAACTTTTAATTTATGAGAATTAATTGATCTTTTAAAGATTTCAATCGAATCTCTTCAATTCTCCTCCTTACACGGACTATCAATTCATATCGCGGGCAATTTAAACGCACGTATAAGGTTGAATCTTATTATAAATCTTACAAATTAATTCACAAAGTTAAAAAATAATTTTCATTTACTTAAAAACAAAATTTTAAAAACAATTTTAATGTATTAAAGTACTAAAAATTATTTAAATTCGATAGCAAAATTTAAGGATTTGAATTCCTTACCCGTCAAACTTAAATTGCATCAACTATAAACTATAAAACAGCAATAAAATGTTGGAGGAAGTATTCGAATCTTTAATTTCATTTATGATTGGAATTATATTGTAAATTTTGTGTATTAATTGACTATGGAAAATGTTAATTTCCTTTGATTCTTCATGTTAGAAGCAATTTAAATGTACATGCAAAGTTAGTATTAAATTTGAGAAATATCTGAATAAATTTTATTTATTTCAAGAAATAAAACCAATTTAAAAACAATTTCAACACATTCAAATACTAAAAATTATTAATTAAATTTGGTAGTAAAATTAAAGATTCAAACTCCTCATCTGTCAAAAATTGCATCAAATATAAACTATAAAATGTCAATAAAATGATGGAGGAAGAATTTAAATCCTCACTCCACTTATAAAATGGTATTAAGTGCAAAATATTAATTGTTTATTAAATTAATTTCCAAAAATTTTGATGATTTTGGCCCTTCCTATTATACAGGGTATTGATTCATGCTATAAGCAATTTAAAATGTATTTACTGTAAAAGATTTGATATTAAATTTGAAAAATAACTGAATAAATAATTTTTAAAACAACTTCAAGTGCCAAAATTTATTAAATTTTGAAAGCAAAATTAAGGATTTTAAATTCTTCATCTGTCAAACTTGATGAAGATGCATCACATTATAAACTATGAAATAGCAATTGCTGGAGGAAGACAAATCATTTATAAATGGCATTAAGTGCAAAAATAATGAATGTTTATTATATATAAAGGTTGTTTATCAAATTAATTTCACGAAAACTCGTTAATTTCTAAGAGTTTTGAATGAATTGTTTGGTCCTTCCTATTCTTATACATGTTATTGATTCGTCTTACATGCTGTTTACATGTGTGTGTAAGGCTCGATGGTGTTACACAGTTTATAAATGTATTGTTTTGTGATGGATTTGACAGTTAAATATTCCGACAAACGCATAAAGAATTAAATAAAATGTCGGATTTGTGCCTCGTGGTCGCCATTTTAGATCAACCAACGAAACCCTGTGAGAGGCTAGCAACATTTGTAAAAATCTCCCTTATTCTTCCGTTTCCGTTCCGTCAATATAATTAATATATCATTAGCAAACAAACAACATTTCAAAACACTTAAACGAACCTGAAAATATTCACGAGTTATCTTCTACTCATAAAATAATCTATTTCATCATTGACTACTCTCTACGTTTTCTCGTCGTATCTCAGAGCCTGATTAGTTGACAGCCGTCCGATCGTCCAATAGCGTGGCCGGAAAACAGCGCATATTACAAATTTGAATTTAAAAGTTATCCCTGCTCTCTCCGATTGGTGGAATTCGAACCAATTGTACCTTTTATATTGTGACGACGGCAAGATTAAAGATGGCGTCGAAAGTGAGGTAGGACGAGGTTGTATTTTATTATAAACTATTGTATTAGCCGAATTGTGTATTATGAATGAAATTTGTGGATCCTTCGACTTATTTTTTTATTTTTCTCGGCAATTCGTCGTTTAATTTCGTACGGTAAGCGATTTAATGTTCCGGTGAAATGTACACATTTACAGGACGAAGAATATGGCGAATAGAGTATAATAACCTCAGACTAAAGTCTGTCTTCGTTAATAACCTCGATCCAAATGTTTTACTGCTTCTCTCCTTTACTCTAGAAGTTACTTCCTTTTAAATCTCTCTATTTTTTAAAATAATCATTAAAAGGGTTTAAATTAAAAAAAAATATGTGTAAATTACGTCCACTCGAATGCTTACGATGTTAATGTTTACAGGAAATGGATCATAAGTAAAAAAGGATTCACGCCATTTATGTGGGTTTAAATAGTGAATAATGTCTTCGCTATTAAGGGTGTGAATGCATTATAAGGCCAGATGGGGTTGAGGGTTGCGGATCGATGGAGAATTCTATGAAATTCTACGTTACGAAGTGTAATGTCTCGAGTTGTAATCTATTTCTAAGTTTAAATAGGTCAGAGAATGTAATTATTCACATTTAAAATGGCGATGTTTAGTAGTAGCTTTGAAATTAAAAAATTTTTTTGTTTTAATGTGGTATTTATGTATATTTTCTTAATGATGATTCTAGTAAAATTTGGATTGCTGTCAAATGGGGAAGCCGAAATTGCTTACATTGACGCGTTTTCGGAATGTTTTCTCCTTTCGTTAGCAATTCTGACTGAGTGGCTTGCCGACTCCAAAAGAATTGATCCTGGAAGTTTCTGTTCCGGGAGTGAAACATTTTGAGAGATTTAACTCTTTTCTTAGGTTGTGACTATGTAGATGCAAGCGAGCAAGAATATGTGGCGAGAAGAGTGTGAAACATATGTGTCTTGTTTATTACAAGAGTGCGAAACGTCATCACTTCTTCTCGTCAAGTATTCTTGCTCGCTCGGAAAATTCGCTCGCTCGCGTCTGCATACTTGCACCTTTACTCTTGGCGGTGTAAAAATACCATCTTCTAATCTGTTTTAAGTTGATTGTTCTGTCGAGTAAGTATGAGACGAATAAGCCTTGATTTGTAAAAATTTTCGCCAAATTCGGAGAGTTGGCGACCCTACGTATAGTGGTGACGGTTTTGTATTCCGGTAATCTTTGCCTCGAAGAGGTTGTAGTGTCTCTATAATCGAGAATTTATTGTTACGTCGTACAGGAATTTTGGAGACTCCTGCCAAATCCAATTGTGGATATCTACTGTTTACAAGTATATTAGATAGAGAAGGCTGCTTATCGGCAATCTGATGAGAAGAGATCTGGATAATTAAGCAAATTATAAGATTTTTAAACTGAATTGCTATTGAAAAATGTTTTCAGAAGTTACAGTATAATTTTTCACTATATAAGTCTTTAGGGCAAAGATTGCTAATTTCAATTGCTGATGATTGGACAATACAATCTAAGTGTTATAATGGAAACAATTGAAGGTGGTTTAATGATGTGAATTTACATATTTTTGCTTCTCTGTATGGTGGTAAAACAATATAAACATAAATATTTATTGCTTGATTAATTTATAATCCCAAAAGTGTTGACACTGGATTTATATGTAAATAAAAAAAAAAAAAACATTGAAAAGAAATACAGGATCTTATAAAAAGAATGCTACCATTTTAAATTATTGAAATTATATTTATTATTTGAGAATGTAATGTACAATAAAACGTTGGAACACTCCAAGTTTCACATTTGCCCGTTAAAATTTCTCCTCGTATATGTACAACCAACACTCTTAGTCTTCCTGCATACAGCATATCCCTAGTAACTCCTCCTACGGAAGCCACAATTCTACGGTTTGTGCAGATTACTTGTGTCGCACGATGGCAAGTGATACTGATTGAACTGCAGAGTGTGAAATACCTTCTCTGTTCTAGAGTCACCATTTTCGTTTACAATGCTTTCTAGAGGTAGTAGATAATAAGATGTTTGAATGCAGATGGGAGATGAAACTTGCCGTTTTACTATTGATTAATGTACCTTGCATAATTCTCAAATAATAATTAACATAATTACAGTAATTTAAAATGGTAGCATTCATTTTGGAAGACCCTGAATATTTTAAGTGGCAGAAAAAATATATTTTTAAGTTGAAACAATCTTATATCCTATTTTATAGCTTAGGTATAACTTTCTATAATTTAGCTGATTAGATCAAATTGGCTTATTTATCTGCTGAAATTTAATCGTGTTGATAAATATACGATGATTCTTTCAGACGTTTATATTTTTAATTATACGTCAAGAATTATTTTGGTTTAAAATGATTGTTGTTCGTATCTAAGAGCATAAACTATTAAGTTAAAGATTCTGTGTTGTTTTTAAGATGAATCAAAGCTAACAACATTGCTAAGCATTCAAAGCATTGGATAGCATAAATATGAGCAAAATAAGCAGCATAATTTAGAATCTAAAATTTGTTATTAAATTTGAATGTAAATTCACATTTTTATTATTGAATTTGTCTTATTTGAATGAATATTTTTGTAAATAATTGTCATATTACATGGAAATATTCAATAGTATGGCTCAATTAATCTAACACATGATTTTTGAATTGTTTTCCCACTTACAATATTTTACTTCTTATTTTTTGATCAAAATTAATTAATTGTGCAGTTATTCATATAAAAAAATTTCAATTAATAATGTATTTTTTGTTATAAAGAAATTAATAATCGGATTAACAGTTTATGAAACTACTTTATTACTAAAAAGACACTAAAAATTACTAAAAAGACACTAAACAATAAGGGTACTTTGGAATCTTCTGGTTCATCTTTGGGAATGCTCGACTAATAAATATTACATAAAACAAAAATTGGAATTTTAAAAATGTTTAAAATTCAAAATTGCTATAAATTGCATCCAAGTTCTAAGACTACAATCTTACGGTTTATCTGTTCATGTTTGAAATTCAGCAGTGATTTAAAGTGCTGTATCACAATTGATACATGAGGACTTCAGAGACAATAGTGCTGTGAAGATAGTCAAAGATGCAAGAGAAAAACCTCTATGAAATTAAAAATATACAGGTTTATGCAAATTTTTTTCCCATATAACCTGTGACTTCAAGTAAAAGATGATATTGGTGCAACTGTTGAAGTAATGAAACTTAGTGAATTATATTTTTTAAATGTATTATCAAACAGATGAGTTTTAGAGCATTCTTATGCTTGATTGGAGAAGTGTAGTTGATTAGGGAAAAATTGTGATCATAAACACAATACTAGTTTACATATGATTGTCCTTTCCATCATTTTTCTCTTAAGCTGGTTCCATACATTCAGTTTTCATTAATTGTCAAATAATTGTCTATTTATTCCCTTTTAAATTTGCCACAATATATTGACAAGGAGTGGGAAATGGCAAATATTAAATATTAGTTGAGTAAATCATCCACACTAGTATTTGTCAAATGTTTGCTCAGCATTTGACTAATACCAAATGTGTGGAGCCAGCTTTATACAGGATCTATCAAGAAAACGGGTGATTATAAATAGACAGTTATTCATTTTTGAATATTGTAAAACAAATTTTCATATACAGGATTTCAAAAAAGTATTTGCAACTTGTTTTGAAGTTGGCATCACACCATTGATCTTCGTTCACGTGCAAATATCTTTCGCATCTTTGAAATATGTCACGGTTAGAGTGGCACAGCATATCCCTGCATATGTTATTGATTGCATGATAAATTTTTGGTGTAAGAATTTCAATATTTTGTAGACAATCTTCATCTATATAACCTCTATTTATAATCACCTGCTTTCCTGCCAGACCCTGTAATGAAGATTAATGTTGGTTTGAAATTAGCAATTGAGAAATCTGGAAAATTTGAGATTAAAACAAAAACAAACCACTTAAATATGAGGAAACCAAAATATTTTCTAAATGAACGATTTCTACAAGGGTACTTCTGTTAATAATTATAAATTAATACTGACAAATTAGTTTGGATTAATTAAAAGAAAGCAAGGTAGTTATCAGGAAAGTTTCTCAAACATCAAATTCAAAAATGCTTTTGTTTAACAGAATCATAGAAATCACTCAAATGTTTTCAGGTTACAAATTCTCTTCATTCTCTTGTTTGGTGATTTTTAAATTATAGTCTGTGGACCACTGATGGTCTATGAACATGTTTCAGGTAGTCTATGGACTGACCTTATCATTTTTCTAACATGCAATTTTATACTGTTTAGTCACAGGATGTAATATTGGGTACATTCCAGTGTGCATCAAAGAGCAAATTGGTGAACTGTGATGTTCTAAAATATATTCCAAAATTCATTGACAAGTTCATTGATGCAGCAACCGGTGCACATTGTATTGCTTGGACTGTGAAATGGACTGTAATGAAGCAGTATGGCAGTCTCCACAGTTATATTATTAACACAATTTTTACCACTTGTCTGTATTGATAAAATAGGGTCTGCAAATGCCAATATGGTGCTTTTTATTTCTGCTGTCTTGCTAAGTTGACAGACATTCTGGTAAAAGCTTATTAAACTGTTCACTGGTGCTGCTAGCAACTGATACTAGAATGTATCCATTTTTATGCACAACTTTTCTTATGTTAAATAGATGCATGCCAAGATACCTTGTCTAAGTTGATTTTTACAGGATAATAAATGGGCAGGTGTAAGCTTGGTGTTAATGATTTGTAAATCATATACATATAACTGTGAGAAACTTGATGTCTAATGTACTGTGTAAACACTGGTTATTTCTAAGTTTTCTCTGAGAAAAATTTGTTGGATAAGGCAATATTTTTCTTTGCAAAAGACATTTGTATCTTGCAAGAGCTATAATCCAACCTTATAATAAAAAGTTAAAAGTAACTTACAGACCAGAAGCAATCTTTCGTGAGATATGGACTTTCAAACAAGGCCACTGGGTGCATACATGCTATGTTTTTCAAACTTTCAAAACTGCATCCTGGAAAGTCTATAAAAAATAATTTAAAAAGTAAATATTCAGTTAAAATATACATATGATCACACAAGACACAATAAAGGCAGCAAAATTAAGGCAATATTGAACATTGACATGTTTGACCAATTTCCCATTTCAGTTGTCAAGGTCAAAAGATGTGATCGGTGGCAGCAGCGGTTGCTGTTCAATATCACCTTAATTTTTCCACCTGTGTGCATCCACTACTACACTATGTCTAAATGAATATAGGTGGAGTGCTTCTTCATATGGACATTGTATATGGGAGATGATGATGTACCAGTACCTCAGTCCTGTTTAGGCATTTTAATTTTTCACTGAAGTTAATTTATGAAAAAACAAAATGTAATGCGTTTTACCAATTCAATGTGATATGCATCACACACATTTTTCTTAAATTTTTGTGTTAGTCTTTTAAATGATTTTTTTTAGAACCAAGGTACAACACCAATATTTTACCTTCATCCTAATCTCATTGTACCTTGGACCAAGCATAATTTTGTAAAGAAAAAGTCAAATTTCCAACAGAAATTTTAAACTTTAATAGTTGAAGTGATGAAAGTTGACAGATAAATACAATAGATAAAGTGGACCACTTTTTACCTCATAGTGGAACTCTAATCTTTTGTATTTTGAACAAATAAAATACTTAGGCCTAGAATGTTTCTGTATTAATAATAAACAGTCTTATAGATTTTATTTTCTGTTAGTAAAAATAGCATTAGTTTTATAGGATTTAGAATCATAGGTTCCTAGCTTTTCTCTGGTGCATTTAGTTAAAAAAATTTTACTTTTTAATGATCAAATTGATTTTTTTCAAGTTTGCAACATTGGTTGTCTATGACTAAAATCATAGAAAATATTATTTACAGTGACCATAATTTGCACATCTGTTAACTATGTGAGTTTCGTAAAAACCCAATTGGTAAAATTGAGATTAGTGTATATCCAAGGTACAATGTTTTCCACTATTATTCTGAGATTCCTTAAAAAGTGCCCTGAAAATAAGTTTCTTTATACAGGGTGTATCAGTAAAGTGGTTACAAACTTTTAGGAGAGATAGTGACGACACACAACACAAGAATGAAGCTTCACAGTGAGCATGGCTGCAACANTTTCAACCTTAACCTGTTGTCTTGAATGCACTTAGTTGAATATAAATTGCAGATCTGTGGTAAATTTGGCAGCAATTTAAAAAATTAATTAATAAAAATTTAGCGTAGAAAACCTGTATTTTTACTTTAATATAGTTTTTCAATATGTTTCTAATTGAATTCAGTCAAAAAATCTTAATTTCATTATAATTTATTGAAAATTTTAATATTTAATATTAAAAGATAATTAGCATAAATTACATGGGTTTTGTTTGAATAAAACATTTTCCACCTTAATCAATTTTTTGAATCTAGAATACACATCCTTTCTCAAGCATAATATTCTAAGCCTCAGTATTATCAACTCACAATCCTTGGGGAGATGTATTTGATAAACTGTCATAGAAAAAACATTATTTCTGGCACTCCAAAAGGAATTCAAATTCAGCCCTAGCCCTAGTTAGAGCTAGTACTAGTTTTTTGTATAGCTTAGCCAGCATCGCTTGTACAAAACAGCACAGATACAAAAGGAACCTAATATGCTGTTCGGCACATACCTATTCCAACCAACAGGACATGCGCAACACATCTAACACACAACCGACTTCCAACAGAAGTCAGAATTGCAACCCTAATTCCAAGTGCACTATAGTTGAATATAACCGACGCTTAACAAGTCTTACCTAAAGAAATAGCTGCCCTAATAGGTACCAGGCTTACGTATAAAAGATCCCACACAATATGTAAGTTATTGTGAAATGCAAAAGACAAAACCTACAATCTTAAAAGCCCCAGATGTTTAGTGTTCCAGTGAGGGACAACAGGTTCCAAAGTGATTTGGTGTACATTGGTTCCACTAAATGCTCAGTACAAAAAAAAGAGTATAGGAACACAAATACAACATTGTGAACGAAAGGCATACCACCACCCTATCCACCTACTCCATTTACCTCAAAGTGCAAGCCGACCTCCTTTAACACCAGGTTAATAAGAGCTCTGGAAGCCTTAGAAATATACAAGGCCGGCCTGACAGGCAAGCTCAAATTTTAAGGATGGTAGCACTGTATCGTATGCCTGGTGAAACTTGTACGATAAACCCGACGGTGCTGACACAAATTGACTTTTATTATTTGTTTTTAAGGCTTGTTCCTAATATAATTTGTGCATATATGTTGTATTTATATATATTTTTAATTCATGCACTTATATTTTTTGTAAGAGTTATGTATTCCAAATTGTTTAATTAATTTAAAAATATTTTTCAAAATGTTCGGTTCTATGCATTCCAATTTTGGAATTCCATTGGTTTGCAACCTAAAGCAGATCCTTGGTTAAGATCAAAAGCATTTGTTTAATATTTATTAAATGTTTTATTAGTGTTACTGGAGTTTAAAGGTTTTTTGGTGTTTGTCATTACTTCCAGTAAATGAGTAAGAAGATATCTTTAATTAAAACAGAAATGATGAAATGTGAAATTTTNTTTATTTAGAAATTTTTCTAAAATAGGTAAACGTTATAGCCAATAAAACTTAAAAGAATCAGTTCACAATGGAGTCAGAAGAAATAAATTCTTTACAAAGTGGTTTGGAAGAATCTAAACCTCTAAATGCCAACATGATGATTATAGATTCTTCGACTATCAAGCAAGCAGTCTCTCAAGTCGATATAAATTTGGAAAATGCAATAGAGAGAAATTGCATGGTGGAAACTACCGACGGCTCGCTTCCGATAACGTTAGTCGTTTCCGAATCTCCTATTTTAGAACATATTAATGAAAATGTAAATTTAGGAGATAGTTCTCAAGAAGGATCGGTTATTTCGGCAGTCAACATGCAAGATGGCGAATCTACTGCCCAGTTTTTTATCGAACATATTGCAGCAGGTAAAGTTTCTTTTATATATTTTAATTTTATGATATACAGTGTGATCTGACATATGTGCATCCATGCTGTGGTCGGATTTTTGAAAATCACAAACGGGTAGAAAATAAAAACCGGAAATATATTGTGTAAATCCAAGTTCACAGTGGCGTATGAACTAATGTGAAGTAGGTATAAACTGCCTGTTTATGCTCTTTCGACAATAATTCGACCGGCTTGTTAGGAGTTTGAAATGTCTCGGCCTTTACCAAACTTGGGTTCATTTGGCCAATCAAGTTTTTCCTCAAATTTGGTGATTATACATTCCAACCAATCATATTCTAACTTTGTATCGTGTTGTACGATGCAAACATTTTGCTTCGGTTAGTGTTTGTGTTGTTTACTTATAATAGTACATACGACAGTGTGAACCTAGCTTATTTGTGAAAAAACAAATCATGCATAAATTAATTTTTGGTTTATGTAGTTAATGCAGATTCTTTACATGTCGATATTGTTGACAAAATAACTGTAATGGCTTAGTCTGCCCAGCATACATAATCTGTGATATACTTGCAACAAAATAAAAGTACATTTTGTCCTGTTGGGCTTTGCTGCATAAATTTCTAGTTATAAATAATCCAGTCATAATTTATATTACTGACATATAGTTTATATTACTTAATTTTATTAAATTATTTGAAATTTATAGATGGTTCTCAATTGCAAACATCAGAAAGTGAAACAATCCAGATTGGCGTCAATACTACAGCAAATAACAATGAGGATGGCGTACCAATCCTTTTACATATGACAGAAGATACAAACGAGGACCATCAAACAAATCTGCATATTTCTGAAGCTGATGGCAGCGAAAGCATTTCGGTAACAACTAATGCAGGTAAGCATTTTATCGCCACTATATTACTTTTGTCATTGTAAGACGTACAATGTACTAAATATCCATGTTGCAACTTGACAATATCGTGAGGGAGTAAATTTATTTGTACTGATCAAATGAAAATTTATCTGTTAGGAATAGATTTGGAAAGTTGATGATGCCTGACAGACTCATCATGTACTATTGATTTATATACAGGACCTTCCAAAAAAGAATGTTGCCATTTTAATTATTGTAGTTATGTTAATTATTATCCAAGAACATTGTGATGCGTATTAATTAAAACATTGCAAAACTAGTCAAGTTTCACATTTGCCCATTACAATTTCTCAATGTGTGCATCTCATCACATGGCATCCATCTGACCAATACTCAAATTCTTCCCATGCTTGCTCAGCACATTCTTTGTCACTCCTCCCATAGCAGCCATAATTCTATGGGTTCTGCAACTCTTACGGATTATTCATATGTGCACAATGATGAATGTTCCTTCTTTGTTGCACCGTTGCTAATTTCATTTATGGTGCTTGCTAGAAGTAGCAGTCACCAAGACATTTGAATGCAGATGGGAGACAAAACTCAGATGGTTACTGTATCAACTGGTGTATATTGTCTGTTTCTTGGATAATAATTAATATTGCTACCGTTTTAAATTACTGCAATTTTAATTTTAAGTCCCTGTGTATTTAGAGTTTCAAATGTTATCCATTAAGTCTCTAGCAAATAAATGTTCAAAATTTATGTTTTATTATGATCATAATTTATGTGGGAGTTATACTCTGCAAGTGTGTGCATAAAAAAAAATTCAGTGTGTTAGTACAGTAGGCAGGATGTAACATAATTTTAACACAATAATAAATATTTAGGTATCTAAACATAGAAAGGGTACAGATGGCTATGAATTTTTCAGCCCCGTTATAATTTTATGGGGCCTCCGTCATATGTGCAGTTCATCATTAAGTGGTGCAAAGCTATAATAAAAATAATCTAAACTTGTAGATTGTTTTTATTACAGCTATTCACCATGTTAGTCGAGTACTCAACTAACATTAACAGTTTAATTTGCAAAACTGTGACAACTTAGATTAAGTGTTATTTACTAATCAGTGAAAACAGTTAAAATAATGATGTCAGATTTGCTCTGAGCACTCCATTGATGAACTGGTAGATAAATTGAATGATTAATTTTGCATCTAGAAATTCTAGATTACATTTTTATTAAACTAAAAAGTGGATAGAAATCGGGTGTGGAGTTGCGTAAAAATCTACCGACTCCGACTTTTCCTTACCATCCGACTCCGACTCTGACTAGGGTTGGATATGTTACTGAAAGAGATCTGGAAATTCTGATGTCATCACGTGACCTAAGAATAAAAGATTCGATAAATAGAGTTCTAATAAAGATAGAACATAGAAACTTTTTATCCCAAAGCTAAAAGACTCCTCTAAGTAATATATAAATATGTATTCGATAATTTTTACTTTTCCGGATGTTATATATAACAGAGGGAAAGTAGCACTCCGTCAAAAAATGACCCCTTCCAAATTTTTACATTTTTGGACTCGGGACACTTTGAAATTTAGAGATATGCAAAAGATTTGAGGTTTTTTTTTCTATATGTGTAGATGTTAGACTGTGTGTGTGGGGCATGATTATGTTTACCTATTTGAAGCCTAATAATTTCCATGGTCAGAATTGGAGTCAGATGGTTTAACACAAGAGTTAGTTATTAAGTGTCAAAGTGGTTGAACTAAATCGTGTCTCCATATACGTTCTAACATCTTAGGCGAGAACATCCTAATGAGTTTTACTGTACTATTATAAAATGACAAAAAAGCTTAGTTTGAGGGTAGAGACAAGTTTTATCATTTGTTTCTTTAATTTCGAATGCTAATAACGAGTAAAATATTTATTAAGAGATATGACACATGACAACTTTTATGTCGTCACCCTGTTGACCCTTTAATTAAGAATCAAAATTTAATAGCATTAATGTCCCTTTATACACAAGCTACAGTATAAAATTTTGTTTCTTAAACTTTACCCATTCTGAGATATTGTTTATCTCAGAACAGAAAATAAAGAAATTAAACAAATTAGATGCCAACACACACACGTGTGAATTTTTCCTCTTTTATTGACTTTTTTCAGGTGTTCAGGAGGTCTCCAAACGTGTAGATTTGCAAAAAAAAAAAAAAAAAAAAAAAAGAANGGCAAAGAAACCGCCAGTGAAAAAGTGGCTAAGATCAGTGGTATGTTCTTAGAATCCAGCTTCTTGGAGACCGGAGCTAAAGAACTGACTTAGGGTAGGAGCAGGCCTTTGTGAAGTACTACGATGATCGAATGTCTGCACCAAAAGCAATGTTAAGATGGTGGTCAAATTAATTTGGTCATTCTTAAATGAATTTAACTTTTCCAGTTTAAATGTACAGGGTGTCCCATTCACAGCTGATCCTTTAAAATTGTGAATAACTCTAGAATGTGTAAATATAAAGGCAAGCTGTAAAGCCCTGAATATACCTGATTTAATGTTGAACAAATCCACATTACAGGAGGTCTTGAAAGTGTCCTCCTCTGTCCATGCAATGCAACATGACATTCCATATTAAAAATGTCTGTGACATGTTGCTATTGATTGACAGCAATTTCATACTGGATATTTTCTTTCAGTTGTCTGATTGTCCTGGATTTGTTTGCTTAAATCTTGCCTTTCAAATGTCCCCGTAGAAAGAAATCTGGCAGACTTAAATTGGGTGATCACAGTGGTCACAAATTTGTTGAGATGTCCCAAAAAAAAACGGAATCTCTTCCATATTGGCACAAGAGATATGGCTACCCTTACTCCTCTTTATGGTATCACTATTATTCTGAGATTCCTTAAAAAGTGCCCTGAAAATAAGTTTCTTTATACAGGGTGTATCAGTAAAGTGGTTACAAACTTTTAGGAGAGATAGTGACGACACACAACACAAGAATGAAGCTTCACAGTGAGCATGGCTGCAACAACTGCATGCGCATGTGCAACATCATCTGATGCTTCAGATTACATAGCAACATCTATCACATACACTAGCCAAAGATGTCCCAGCATTTTTGCTGTACTAAGAATAATAAACATGTTTTCTCACCCTGTTCGTGTCATCACTACTGCGCCAGGAAAGCATTTCTGACCATGCATTGTTGTGTGATTTCCCATCGTCTAGGTCCTATCGCTTCTGAAAGTTTGTAACTGCTGTACTGATACACCCTGTATATACAATTAACTAAATTGCCACCCTTTTAAGTAACCGCTCTTGTTTGTCTAACAACTTGATCAACTACAGATGGTAACCCATCTTCTGAAATATCTCCTGCAATTTTTTAAAAATAATGTTTAAAGTCTAATGCTTCATTCATCATGAAGGCAACTACAAATGTTTAGAATTCAAAATGCATTTATATATTTTGTAATATGTATATTGACAGTTTAAAGTTATTTGATGTATACTTTGATTGCATGTGAGCAACATCATATGATATATACTAACAAAATTAAATAATTTATTAAATATACATAATGTGTAAATTAAAAATTTCTATTGAGTTGCCGACTGACAGGAACCTCTTCCCGAACCTACAGATGATTAAGGAAGGTGAAAACATTAATTTTTTAAAAATAAATCTGTTTAAAAACTATACTTTCAGTAGTGATTGACTGATCAAATGCAATGCTCAATTAGTTGATAATTTAAGCTAATTTAAATTAAATTTAAAAGCATTTTTAAATTTATTTTAATAAATTGGAGATGAAATGGTAAGCATTATTTTTTCAATCTAGCATGTAAACTTTATTATACAAACGTCTATATTTTAATTCTCTTTTGACTTTTGTTGTCCAGCAAAAGTGTATTAAATTTGTTCAAACTTATATATTCACGACGACCAAACTGTGGCTCTTCAACTTACTGCAGCTCCTGTATATTTATACAGTTTCTAATGAGTAATACACGCTATACAGTGGATAAAAAATATAAATATCACAAAACCAAAAATGCAGTTTGTAGATCAAAAAGTGAAAAGGAAAACAAATTTTTTTAATTACCAGCAACTGTCTTTTGGTTTCCATTTCCAAATCTATTCTTTTAACCTAAAGATGGTTGCTCGAGGTTTGTTTTCCTTTTCACTTTTTGATCTACGAACTGCATTTTTGGTTTTATGAGTGATATTTATACAATTTTTTATAAACTCGATACATACTGCTTACATGTAGAAGACTTACAAAAAATTTTACATGATGATTATGTAGTTTGATATACACATGGATCGTAAGCATAAATTAACTTGCAACTTACACTTAGCTTTCATTTTCCTGTTCAAGATTAAGTTCATAAAGAAGTTAACCAGTTAAGTAACAACCTATGTAACTGATTATAAAGTAATAATATTTATTATATGACAGCGATAACTACAGTATTTTAACAAAAATACCAGCAGTTGATTGAAAATCAGTAGTTAATCCATAATTGTTTTGCCTTATTGATATTATTTGAAAATAAATTTAATAACAAGATCACCAGCAGACATTTTTGATGCTAATGATATCTGAATATGGCAAAGAAACCGCCAGTGAAAAAGTGGCTAAGATCAGTGGTATGTTCTTAGAATCCAGCTTCTTGGAGACCGGAGCTAAAGAACTGACTTAGGGTAGGAGCAGGCCTTTGTGAAGTACTACGATGATCGAATGTCTGCACCAAAAGCAATGTTAAGATGGTGGTCAAATTAATTTGGTCATTCTTAAATGAATTTAACTTTTCCAGTTTAAATGTACAGGGTGTCCCATTCACAGCTGATCCTTTAAAATTGTGAATAACTCTAGAATGTGTAAATATAAAGGCAAGCTGTAAAGCCCTGAATATACCTGATTTAATGTTGAACAAATCCACATTACAGGAGGTCTTGAAAGTGTCCTCCTCTGTCCATGCAATGCAACATGACATTCCATATTAAAAATGTCTGTGACATGTTGCTATTGATTGACAGCAATTTCATACTGGATATTTTCTTTCAGTTGTCTGATTGTCCTGGATTTGTTTGCTTAAATCTTGCCTTTCAAATGTCCCCGTAGAAAGAAATCTGGCAGACTTAAATTGGGTGATCACAGTGGTCACAAATTTGTTGAGATGTCCCAAAAAAAACGGAATCTCTTCCATATTGGCACAAGAGATATGGCTACCCTTACTCCTCTTTATGGTATACAATCAATTCTGCATGAAATAGTGAACATTTTGAGCCCTATTTTGTGTTGTTATGCACTTGTTGCAGAGTTGTTTGCAATTTTAAAGGGTTGACCCCAAGTGGGAAACCCTGTAGTATAAGAGTGTTACTACAACATTATTACAGGTTTGGCCACAGTTTCAATGAGTCATCTGGACGGATGGGTCCAGTTCACTTGTAGACCAGATCGCCCATAAAAAACTTCCTGAAAATTGATCCTGGATCCAAATGCAGACTTTACCTCAGTCATCCAGTTTTCTAAACAATGTTTTAATTTAAATGTTTTTTAATATTATTGATATAGAATATATCTGCCAAATTATCGGGCTATAATTGAATTGTTGGTCTAATTATAGCCTGATAATTTGGCAAATCATTTGACTTTACTTAAAATAGTAGGTCTATGGATTTATTGTTCATATATATATATAAATATTGTAACAGGTGTGACCAATCAAAATGAAGAGCCAGATTCTTTATTGGGCTATTTAAGGCTAATTAATTAATTAAATAATTTTGTTATAGATAGGTGATTATTCTAATTATTAAATTTAACAGATGACAGCTAAACCACCTATCACGAGCCAAATTATTTAATTAATTAGTTGTAAGAAGTCCAATAAATAATATGGCCGTTTGATGCTATAAAATATATTATTAATGTAATTAATTTCAAAAGCTTTTTGTTAATATTTTCATATTTATTTAGAAATTTTTCTAAAATAGGTAAACGTTATAGCCAATAAAACTTAAAAGAATCAGTTCACAATGGAGTCAGAAGAAATAAATTCTTTACAAAGTGGTTTGGAAGAATCTAAACCTCTAAATGCCAACATGATGATTATAGATTCTTCGACTATCAAGCAAGCAGTCTCTCAAGTCGATATAAATTTGGAAAATGCAATAGAGAGAAATTGCATGGTGGAAACTACCGACGGCTCGCTTCCGATAACGTTAGTCGTTTCCGAATCTCCTATTTTAGAACATATTAATGAAAATGTAAATTTAGGAGATAGTTCTCAAGAAGGATCGGTTATTTCGGCAGTCAACATGCAAGATGGCGAATCTACTGCCCAGTTTTTTATCGAACATATTGCAGCAGGTAAAGTTTCTTTTATATATTTTAATTTTATGATATACAGTGTGATCTGACATATGTGCATCCATGCTGTGGTCGGATTTTTGAAAATCACAAACGGGTAGAAAATAAAAACCGGAAATATATTGTGTAAATCCAAGTTCACAGTGGCGTATGAACTAATGTGAAGTAGGTATAAACTGCCTGTTTATGCTCTTTCGACAATAATTCGACCGGCTTGTTAGGAGTTTGAAATGTCTCGGCCTTTACCAAACTTGGGTTCATTTGGCCAATCAAGTTTTTCCTCAAATTTGGTGATTATACATTCCAACCAATCATATTCTAACTTTGTATCGTGTTGTACGATGCAAACATTTTGCTTCGGTTAGTGTTTGTGTTGTTTACTTATAATAGTACATACGACAGTGTGAACCTAGCTTATTTGTGAAAAAACAAATCATGCATAAATTAATTTTTGGTTTATGTAGTTAATGCAGATTCTTTACATGTCGATATTGTTGACAAAATAACTGTAATGGCTTAGTCTGCCCAGCATACATAATCTGTGATATACTTGCAACAAAATAAAAGTACATTTTGTCCTGTTGGGCTTTGCTGCATAAATTTCTAGTTATAAATAATCCAGTCATAATTTATATTACTGACATATAGTTTATATTACTTAATTTTATTAAATTATTTGAAATTTATAGATGGTTCTCAATTGCAAACATCAGAAAGTGAAACAATCCAGATTGGCGTCAATACTACAGCAAATAACAATGAGGATGGCGTACCAATCCTTTTACATATGACAGAAGATACAAACGAGGACCATCAAACAAATCTGCATATTTCTGAAGCTGATGGCAGCGAAAGCATTTCGGTAACAACTAATGCAGGTAAGCATTTTATCGCCACTATATTACTTTTGTCATTGTAAGACGTACAATGTACTAAATATCCATGTTGCAACTTGACAATATCGTGAGGGAGTAAATTTATTTGTACTGATCAAATGAAAATTTATCTGTTAGGAATAGATTTGGAAAGTTGATGATGCCTGACAGACTCATCATGTACTATTGATTTATATACAGGACCTTCCAAAAAAGAATGTTGCCATTTTAATTATTGTAGTTATGTTAATTATTATCCAAGAACATTGTGATGCGTATTAATTAAAACATTGCAAAACTAGTCAAGTTTCACATTTGCCCATTACAATTTCTCAATGTGTGCATCTCATCACATGGCATCCATCTGACCAATACTCAAATTCTTCCCATGCTTGCTCAGCACATTCTTTGTCACTCCTCCCATAGCAGCCATAATTCTATGGGTTCTGCAACTCTTACGGATTATTCATATGTGCACAATGATGAATGTTCCTTCTTTGTTGCACCGTTGCTAATTTCATTTATGGTGCTTGCTAGAAGTAGCAGTCACCAAGACATTTGAATGCAGATGGGAGACAAAACTCAGATGGTTACTGTATCAACTGGTGTATATTGTCTGTTTCTTGGATAATAATTAATATTGCTACCGTTTTAAATTACTGCAATTTTAATTTTAAGTCCCTGTGTATTTAGAGTTTCAAATGTTATCCATTAAGTCTCTAGCAAATAAATGTTCAAAATTTATGTTTTATTATGATCATAATTTATGTGGGAGTTATACTCTGCAAGTGTGTGCATAAAAAAAAATTCAGTGTGTTAGTACAGTAGGCAGGATGTAACATAATTTTAACACAATAATAAATATTTAGGTATCTAAACATAGAAAGGGTACAGATGGCTATGAATTTTTCAGCCCCGTTATAATTTTATGGGGCCTCCGTCATATGTGCAGTTCATCATTAAGTGGTGCAAAGCTATAATAAAAATAATCTAAACTTGTAGATTGTTTTTATTACAGCTATTCACCATGTTAGTCGAGTACTCAACTAACATTAACAGTTTAATTTGCAAAACTGTGACAACTTAGATTAAGTGTTATTTACTAATCAGTGAAAACAGTTAAAATAATGATGTCAGATTTGCTCTGAGCACTCCATTGATGANAAAAAAAAACTTGGAGGGTCAAATTTGACACAATTCCAATACTTTTCCGTTTTATATACATAACAAGTTGGGAAGTAAAAAAGGAGTTGGTGGATTTTTTGATGACTCTGGCTAAAACACCAAAACTCCATGACTCCGACTCCACATCCCTGATAGAAATGCAACTATGAATGAGGAAGTTGAGACTTTATCAGAGCCATATCTATAGGAGTAAAAAAAATTCACAGTAACTGATTGTCTACACATGATCTGTGGGAGATGTAGTCCTCTCCGAAAATCAGCCTATCTGGAATTTTGAAGTCCTTTTAAAATACTTTAATAATTAATTAGTAATTAATCTGACTAGAGGTAGGCAGATACTTCTAGTCGGATTATTAAAGTATCCCAATAATTTTGGCACGTTTGTTTGGCTTAACCTGATTTTAATTAATTAAGAGTTGTTTATATTTAAAAGTAAAAAAAAAAATGCAAAACTATTCTTCAAAACAATGCTAAAAATCAACTGTTTTCTACTTTACTAGAAATGGCTAAATGCTTGCAGAAAATGAGAAATTCTGTTGCACCGACTCCTCCTAAGATGCAACCAGAGTCTCGCTGTGTGCTTCGTTAATCCTATCACAAAAATTTTGGAGGCAATTATCTCGCCAAGGGTTGCATTAGAATTGCGTTCATTTTGACTTTTTTACTCCTGTGAGCATTGTCTAGAAACCTGATAAGGTCCCAACTGCTTCATTTAGAATGTATTTGTACCAAAAAATGATTATTAAATTATTTTAATTATTTTTAATTAATAATTTGTCATTTTTCTTTAAGTTATTGTAAAAGCAATTTAGTGTTGACAACTAAAGGTTTCCTTATAAATTGAATCTATGATACTGTTATACTTTTCTAGCATGTATGAATTTGTATTACTTGGAAAAATTGAAAATCGATTGTTTTTATTACCAGATGCGGGGGATATGCCAGCTACGATGTACACAATACATCTAACTGAAGATCCACCTCCAGACGGCATCGTCTCCGACGAGCAAGGAACTTTAACTGCTTCCAATTCGGATTTAGCAGTTGGCGATTCGTCTTTGGTTCATCTGGAAAACGTATCGCTGACGGAAGAAACCAATCTTCATTTTCTCGCCACAAGTACTAGATTAGAAGATTTTATGGATGTTGTAACAACGTATAAATGTAAATTTTGTAGATTTTGTTGTGCTTGGAAGTCCGGTTTAATGTCTCATATTAGAAGTTGCCATTTAGATGCTAGTCAAAATATCGCATCTACCATTCAAGAAAGCAATTCTTTGCAACAAATAACAAATATAGGTAAGAGGTACCAAAAAATATTTTATTGTCATGGCATGTAAAAACTTAATGTATATTTTTTTGTTTAATATAAAGTATAATCAATTGAATTTTGTTATATAACAAGAAAAACTTAATATCTTAAAAGAAATTTATGTTTATAGGAAAGTATTTGAAATTAAAATAAATTATGATTTTTAGTACTTATCCTTTATATAGGATGTCTCATAAATCTGAAACCATAGGAATTGTGTCAGTCTTTGTTTTATTCTTTTATATATAAAGCTTGGTGTTGAGTAAGAACATTGATGACGGGGATGTATAGTTGGCAAAGAGTTTAACGGGATGCACCCGGACCGTGGTACTTGATTGGCAGAAAGTCTGGCTGCAGCTTTTAGACTCTTTGCAGACTTCTTGCTGACTGTGGGTTCCCATCATCGGCATTCGTTCTCCTTACTCTTCATTGTGCTTTAACCGTAAAACAATAAGCAAAGATCAGCGTAACTTATGTGTCTTACGAGGTAACTCGTATTTTACATCTATCTTTAATACTTGTAATGATTACAAGCATGCAACTTGTTATTTTTTTGGAAGCTTGGTCTCGGATCAAACACAAGGCAATAAGAAAGCTGTCATTGGAACATAAATTGCTTGAGTTAAGATTTAAATTAGCTATTACACAGTGTTTTCTTTTGTTCTGAAATCTGTACATTAATAATGAAGAATTTATTATTTTCATATTGATAATTATTTGCTTAAAGTGAACATAATTTAACGATACATGCTAAATTAAAAATGTTCTGTGATCTTGCAACATGCTAAAATCTTATACTATAGAAATACTGTGACCTAAATTTAATGGATAAAAAGTTTGTCCTAAAGGAAAAATATAAAACTTTTTTTTGTACTTGTGAATAGAACATGCTAAAGGGTTGCGTCAATGAATCAGTTAGCATAAATTACTTCATTATAATAATAATTTTATTCATACTTATAAGGTATAACATTTTAATACATTATGTACATTGTAAGTTTGTCGTTAATGTTTTCAAAATATGTTCGATTTAATGGAGTTTTACTAATAGTGGACACCTCTTTACCCAGTTAGTCTGTTAAATCAAATTCCTATGTATTAGCTTATAACTCCATTATACAGGAAGCTCTGTAGGTTTTAAGTGGTGGGTTTTAAGTGGTCTTTTCATTTTTTTTCTTTCATATTTAATTTTGTTATCAATTAAAAACTTTTTAAATGTAATTTTTACCTTCTTTGTTTAAACTGATATTTAATGTAATAAATTACAGGATTTTTAGAATTTGTAATCAAACTTTAAGGCTCATTTTAGTCTGTCAATTATTGAGATCACTTATTGGTTGTTATAGTGTAGTTTGATTGAAAAAAATGAAATTTAAATGAAAGATTTAAGCTTATCACTCTAGGAGAAATGGGATTAAATCCAGAGGTTTTAAAGACGCCAGGAATTTTTTTGGGAGTGGGTTGTCTTAGACATGTCTGGCTCCATTTCTCATCACTCAGCTGCATTATAAATCTTTTCTAATAATAAATACTTATAACTTTATATTTGTGAATGCTCGATGGACTATGACCGAGCAGTTAAGATGGCAGCCTACCACTTGACTTGGCATCGGATCTGCGCAGGTCGAAAAATCCCAGGAATTTTTCGGGGTGCGGTCTCTCCGGATATGTCGGGCCCTGTCCCTCCCCATTCAGCTGTTTTGTTCTGGGTCTGGTCAAAACCATAAAGGGTTTGCTAAAAAAAAAAAGGGGGGCTGATTGGTGTCCACAAGATGGAAGGAGTTAAAATGAATCATTAATGCTGACATTTCATGAGGATATTCTAATTTAGTTGATAAATAAATTATAATATCTGTATATATATCTTAATATATAATATGTATCTTAGTAATTAGATTAAACTAGCACACAACTCATATATAATTTTAAATTTAGTAAATTTGAAAATTTAACAATATATATATTTGTAGTTATATATATATGTGTAGTTAAACTTTCAAATATATATATTTGTGAATTATTTAGAATCTAAAGATAAAAACGAAGCCAGAACAAATGCATTTATTGAAGAAAATAAAACTGAAGTACCAAAAGAGTTCGATGGCGAGACCGAAAATGCATCGTCTTCGAGTCAATTGAATTCTGATTCTAAGTTAGACATGGAATGTAGCAACGATATTAGCGATTCTGGTACGTCTCAAGTAACCGCAGCTTTTCCCGTTCAAGAGCAGCATATATACCTGTGTGGTCAGTGCAGTCGAGGTTTTGTTTCGTTGGAAGGATGTCGAAAACACATTAATAAAGTAAGTAATTGAATTTTTCTATCGACTTGTAAGACTTGTTTGTCAACTTTATACAAATACTATTTTTATTTTACATCTAACATTTAAAAAATTTCAGTTTTTTACAGTAAATTACAGTAACTTTAATGGTAACAATCAATTGTATTTTCGTATAAAGCCAAAACTTAGTTTAACATTTTAATTTAACTGTTGAACAAATTATAATTTTATTTTATTTGTAATGATTTTAATATATTCAATTTTTCTAATTTTAGGATCACAATTTAAAGTTGCCTGCTAATAATAAATCTACTGGCATGAAACGCAGAGGAAGACCCCGAACTAAACTGTTGTTAAACAACTCTACGTCTTTCCTTCAAGATGAAAATGAAGACGATGACGAAGAGGACGAAGACGAAACATTAGGAAACGAGATGGATGGCAATAATTATATAGAAAACGGGCAAGATGAATCCGACGAAAGGATGGAAAGCTCCGGAAAAAGAAGAGTCCGTCCGCCTCGGGCTTTAGAAGAAGACTATTATTTCGGTCAGAAGAAAAGGCGGGTTCGAAAGAAGAGCACAAAAGATAGAACTTATAGGTAGGATTATATATTTTTAAAGTAAGATTAACGAGAACTTTAAAGTTTATAATTATTGAAATGTAAATCATGACTAATACATTTCAGATAATTTTTAAAATTTACTCCAATCACTTCTGTTAGATGAAACAGCTAATGAAAATAGTCTTTGACTTTCTCTTATTAATAGTCTTTATGTACTTGTAATAGTGATTATCTGTTAGACATATTAGGAAACTGTCTAAATTTTAAGAAAAACATAAAAATAATACACTATCAAATAGAGACAGTATACTGTAGTGTCAGTTAATTGGGGCAGGACATTTTTGAATAACCTCTTCTTCCTCCTCCTTCCGTGTCTTCCTCTTCAAATAACCATTCATATTTGTTAAGGAAAGAAAAAGTAGGTACCTCAAATAAAATTAAAATATTATTGAAACATCTGTGGAAGCTGGAAACTAGATAACTAATAATTACCTAGGACTTTAACACTTCATCCAGAACTTTAACACCTCTTCAGCAGCTCTCCTCAGATATACGAGCAGAGGAAAAAATAATTTTTAACAAGCTTGCAAAAGTTCGACGACAACTCCAACATTGTTAAATGCATTAAAATTTTCATTGAAATTTTTTTCTGCTCGCATATCTGGATAGGGTCACTGAAGAGGATAAAAACATTTATATTTTTAAGAAATTAACTGCTGGAAGAAGTGTTAAAGTGCTAGGTAATTATTAAAAACAAGCAGTAGACTATTTCTTCACTATTTCTATCATTCATACATATTAAATTTCTATTCCTTAATCTTTTTCTTACTATTCTACTAGAATTAAAAGTAATATTTTTACTAATAAATTAGTTTTTCATTGCAATCTACAATTTACTGATGAAACTTTTGAATTCAAAGTAAAAAATACATAATAATAAAATGAATAATTATGAGATAGATCAATAGTTGGCCTGTAGAATATCTGTGTGTAATTTCTGGAATTTTTACTCTTTGAAGTTGATTTTGGTTAAACATTTTTTCATATAATTGATACACTATTGTATGTCAAAAAAATGTGTGTAGACACTTTGATAATTTCCAAATTCAAACATGTTTGGCTCACACAAAACAAACAATCTAATTTGAGTACCAAGAATTAACACCTTGCTCTATTGTCAGAAATTCTAATCAGATTACAGTAACAGGTACAAACTTAGAGGTAAAAAGAATTATTTTGTTGTCTGGCTTTTTCAGGAAATTTAATACAATAATTAATCGTTTACTTTGATCTCTGTAGGCTAATTATCAATTTGTTTTCAAATACTCTGTACTGGTTAGTTACTAATTACTCCATACAAGGTATATTGGCAGCACTGTTTTACTTTTTTCTTATTATTTTCGCAAATTACATTTATTGCTTGTTCGTGAACTCGATTATCAGAAAATCATTCATTTCTTGTAAGTTCTCAATTCTTAAATGTATTTGATTCTGTTCCTGGTTAATTTTAATATCAGACTAATATTAACGAAGATCGTGTCTCTGTATGTCCCCTTGTCATGTGATTCTTGTTTCTCTGAAAAAGTTCAAAATCATTTTTGAATACATCTTGTCATGCTCTGCAGTGACTGTATTTGGAAGCAATTTTACATACTTGTCTACATGCAAAATCTTAATTTTCCTCTTTATTTGAGTTAAGTTGCATTCTTTGTTCCCAAAAACCTTTTCTGTTTCCACATTAGATAAGTTTTGTTTACAGCATGTAGTAAAATTTAACATAGAAAATCACTCTGTTCTGAAGAATTTTTCTGTTTATTCAGGTTCGGTTTTAGACAGATTTTACTGTATTTAATTTTAGATTGTTTATATCTGTTTATCTCATGTTATTCTCTTATCTACTGTTTCCTGTGTATCTTTCAGATGTAATGAGAAAGGATGCGGATATAGTTTTACCTCTGAAGCTAATCTGCAATATCACGGTAGAAGTCACGTGTCTGATGATAAGCCGTTTTGTTGTCCTGAATGCGACGAGAAAGCTGATCATTGGCGTGGTTTAGCCATGCATCTTTGGAAGATTCACAGTATTGATATGGATTTGCACACTTGTCCCATTTGCGGCTATAAAACGTACAGTCTCTTTAAACTGGATAATCATAAAGTAAGCTAGTTATTGTTATTTTTGATATGAATTACAAAAACTTAGTAGTACACTGTTACATAGCTGCCATCAATTGTAATTATTGCCAATTAACTTCAGACTTCACCAGAGAGAGATGGGCAATGATATTATGAGTCTTGTCTGAGAAATCATGATTACCCGATTTGATTCAAACTCTGATTATTCATGGTGCAGTTGCTATGTAACTAACAATATGGCCATTTAGCTGATTTCTATATAGGAAGATTATTTATAAAATTAAACTACAGTAAGCATATACTACAGGCCTAGTGTGGTACTAAATTACCAAGCATTTTTGTACTTTTGCAAAATTTAAATAGTTATATGCAATCCAAACATTGCTGCATATTTTGTACCAGTGCACATGTGGCCACCAGCAGCCGAGTGGATAAAACCACTGGACGCTGGTCATGCACCTTGCCACCAGATTGGCCACATGGAGTTTTCCAGGTTTTCTTCACATTTGTAATACCTTAATAGGGGCCAATAAGTAGAAAGTCCTTCCGGGAGGCACTTCCCTGTGTAGATAGTCTACATGTCGCATTATTATAACAAAATAAAGTAAAACCAGTATACACATTGTATGCTTTTGATTCATTTATGCACTCTCTTTAATCAGTCTGAAAGATGATACAATGCATGATTATACTGTGTTAAGATTAATTGAAAACCTTGCAAAAATGTTAACGAACATGTTATTGACAAGATTAACATTGACTAAAATTCATGGGCATATAATAATTATTTGATGGATTTACTGTATTCATCACAAGTTATTTAGTGCATCATATATCAAAACAATTTCTGATTTATGGAATGTTAGTATACCAGATTATAGGCTAGTTTTTCAGAGAATGTCAGGTTACTAGATGGATTATTAGGCGCCAATTTAATGAATGTCTATTGAATATGTTTGATAAATAAAATTAAATGTTAAGATAATTCAGATGATAATTACCATGTGGGTGATGTAAGATTGTGTTTATGTGGGTGCTCTAGCTGATTGGATCCATTTACCTGATAGGATATGGTATGGTAAAAAATGGCTGAGATGTGATGCTAGTAACATCACATGCTCTCATGCTGATGATGACTGTTGAATGGAATCATAACCTGCTATTTTACTCTTATTTTTTATTATTTTGTAATTAATTTAATTATTTGGTGACTAATTAAATTAATTTGTAGTAAATTGCAATATAAATCTATTGCAATTAGTGCTTAATATTTATAATTAAACTGTTTTTTTATGCAGAGAATACACAGTGAAGATAGAGAATTCATATGCACTACCTGTGGAAAAGGTTTCAAACAATTGAGTCAATTACGTAACCACAATGTAATTCATTTGGACAGAAAAAATATGCCAGAAAAGCGATGGTACAGCGAGCAAGAATGTGACATTTGCCATCGGACGTTTTCAGATTCTAAATGTTTAAGGAAACACCAACAGGCCGTTCACAATAAATTAAAACCTTATTCATGCACATATTGTGGGCATATGAGTGCCAGGAAGGCCATGTTACAGTTGCACATGCGCCAGCATACAGGTGAGAAACCTTTTATGTGCGAACATTGTGAGTACAGAACGGGAGACCATAATTCGTTGCGTCGTCATCGCATGAGGCATACCGGTACTAAGCCGTACAAATGTCCTCACTGCCCCTATGCATGCATCCAGGTACGTATAATTTTGCAGAGTGGAATCTACATAATTTATTAAAATAATTTTTAACCCTCATAGCATAAACTTCAAAATGATAAATAATTTTTGCCAAATGATTGCTGGTTACATTGGGCTATAATAATACTACTATTAATAATTAAATTTCAAGTAATATGTTTATGTTTGGATAAATTATTTATTTTTATAAACCTCATAAAAATATTTACTTGAAAATGTCTAATATCTGATTCAACATGTATTTTAACAATGTTTAGTAAATAATGGTAATCAAAAAGCCTAGTATCTTTAAAATTTCAAGTATACTTTTCTTTATGAAAAACATGAATTATTCTATTAATATTTATTCTGAAAATATTTTGTGTGTGTTAAGTTACTTTAATATAAAAATTCTAGTTCAAATTTTATAAAAATGAAATAAATTTAAATCACAAATTACCATCATGCATTATATCTATTTAATGATAAAGCAACATCTATTTTAAGTAGGATTTCTTAAACAGTTNAATTTATTAAAATAATTTTTAAAATTTTTATCATACAGGCAATATCTTATAAAATGCACTTGAAAAATAAACATCCAGGAATGGAAGGTTTGTATGCCTGTGCGCTGTGTACTTTCCGATCGGTAAGTAAAGACAATTACATTAACCATATGTCAGACCATAAACGAGGAGCAATTCCCACAACATCTACATCCAGTTTCCATTTGAGTACCACAACTGGTAATCAGCATTCGGTTCTGATGGACGAAGATAGTAATGGACAACAAGAGATTCAAGAACCGGCTCAGTTGCACGTTACCGAAGGAACATTACAGCAGTTAGAAGGAATTTTACCAGGAAATTTTAGTGCTGCACAACTTATCTATAGTTGTCTCAGTGCTCTTAATCACGAGGGTGGTACCGTCAACTTGCCGGCAGGTGTGACCTCCACCACTACTGCAGGTGATGGCACGCAGACTATAACCATTCAACTTCCTGCTCCGACTACTCAGGAAATGGCAGAACACGAACAATTTTATCTGACCATTCAACAACAGGACGGTTCTAATCCTACCACCATCATCTCACCCAGTGTTGAGGTAGGAAACGTGCAGACTGTTGACGACTCTTCCGAGAAAATTTTGCAGCCCATAACTATTTCGGAAGAAAAACACGCTCTAGATTTTGTGGAGGCGAGTGATTCGACACCGCCCACCATTGTCTCTCTACCCGCTCAGTCAGAATCAACTTCGAGTTTGCTGCAAGAAGTCTAATCTGTATTTAATCAAATGTTCAGTCTGATTGTCTGCATTGTACAGAAAGATTTAGTATTTACATTAAAGACAATTCTTTGTTTCTGTTCATATGAAATTGGCCTTTTATTATTTGCAAACTAATTTATTATTTTATGCAAGTAACATTACAGTAAATTACCATTCAGTGAAATTATGCTTTTGTTATAGAAAATGGACTAGTAAAAGTACTGATACTTTGTGTGAAATCTGATATTGAGTGGATTCGCATCTAAGTTGTGAATTGAAAAGTTCACAACTTAGATGCTTAGAAAATTCTGTAGAAAAAATATTGAGATTTTGTTTCCTTAGAGTGTACAGGATGCATATTAAAATTCTTATACATTGATTTGAGAGTGACACACAGTAATGAATGCATCACGAAGACATAGAAAATGAGAAATATACATATAATAAATAAACACAAGAAATGAATGAGAACACATGAATTATCACATGAAATACACATTTTATCATCTGTGCTCAACATCTATGTTAGCATTTAACACTTTCTATCCACACTATTCATATATTCAGGGTGCCCTTTCATACTAAATCAGTCACATTTTATAACTTTGTAATTGATTTTTGTGTCACGTGTCGTTTTTGAGATAGGAGCACAGACTTGAATTTTACCAGTAGTGGCACCGCAAGCAATCTTGTCTCAGCACATAGCTACAATTACAGCAATGTGACTATCTGTGTTTGTTGGGTAAACGAATGTGTAAGGACTTTCCTATGCACTCTGTATTTTCACACATTTGTCTTTTGATAATTTTCATGCAATTAATAGATTGCTATTTAATTATTTATCATGTTATCTTTCATCTTTAGTTATGCAGGTTATACGAAGCAGTCTACACACAATTGTAGGTATATTAAACCCATTATAACTGCATTGCCTAAATTGCTTTAGAACAGTGTTTTTCAACCTGTGGGTCGCGACCTCCAGGGGGGTCGTGAAGTCTTACACGGGGGGTCGCGGGTAAAAGAAAAAGACAAGTGTTTGTAGGTCCTACACTACATTAAAAAAAACTACAATTTCAGCGAGAAGGCTGTACCTGTTTATTATACAGTACAATCGGTTTTTTGATCGACATTCAGGTCTCAATGATGGGTGTAGTCAGAGATGGCCCGAATGGGTATGGGCCACCGCAGAAAATGATAGCCGTAAAAAGTGTTGAGCTGACTTGCAAAAAGAAGTAATAAGTAGAAAAGTAGAAGTTGGAAATTCTCATCCTATAAAAAAAAGCTTCAACAGCATCCCGAGCCCAATGTTATAATGAAAAGGAAGTTTCATACGTTATGTGTCTTAAGTTATTGTCGATTCTTCTCAAATTCTTGTTTTAATCAACAATAATTTTTCTCAACAGAAAGAAAATTAAATACATAGTTTTTAAAATCACTGATATAGTTTTAATATGGCCCTAGCGAACAGGTAAA